TTCATATCTGCTTCCAAGATTGTGGAGGTCTAGAAGTAAAACAAATAAATAAATCCTCTTTTCACCTCCTGTTTTACCATACTTTCTGGAAAACTAAAATACTGCTGAGAAACCTCTGAAGGGATCATGCAGTTTTAACTGGGAGCATATTTCCTAACTTTGGCCAAAGTTACCCAGGCTTTTAACAAATATCTTGCTGGTACTTAGGTTATATGTTGTAAAATGCTAAATCAAAACCCTCCAAATTGAATGTTATGATAGGCAAATGTTTAACTACATCTTCTTTTTAAGGCAATTAAACTCTGCTATAAACTGATTGTGACCTTTAAACAAGCTGCGTAATGGTTCTGGTGCCGTAGTTATTTTCTGTAAACTTACAGTTTTTAACTCATACAGATCAGAGCTCTTTTTTCAGGGTTGTTTCATTGATCCTTATTTTCTTAAGGGTCACTGTATATTACTGTACTTCAGAAATTAGTAGATGTTAACGTCAGAGATGAATATCAGATTATCTAACCCAAATTCTATTGTAATGCAGGCTGATTTTTTTTCTTCTTTCACCAAATACAGTAATTCTGTGTTTAGGTATGGCTGTCTTTGAGAGAATCAGGCTTCTTTCAGAGGTTAAAAAAAAAAAAATTAGAAAAAGGTGGTGGTGGGGCTTACCTCCCATTTCTTTTGGTACCATTTGCTTGTGGCAAATCAGCTTTTCAAAGAAGAATATTGAGATATTTGTTGATTCACTTGCAGGGTGTTCTCTCTTGCTGTAGCTCCTCTCGATACCCCTAGCAGTGCCAGAAGAAAAATGTTGAGTTCTGCACCTAAAATCGTCTTTGTGCACAGGTAGTGCATAGACTACAGGCTGCGGTCTGATTTTTTTGGGTGTAATGCAAGTGGTACAAATAATTAAAGTGAACAGCTCCTGTCTGTGTCTGAGGACTCCAGATAACTGTAATAAATGAGTAGAAAAATAAATCATACAACTTAAATACATATATTTAAGCTTCCTATTCAAGAAGGAGGGAGCCAGTTGCCTTTTAAAATGTAAAAAGCTACTTTTATGTTTGGGAATGGGGCTAGCAGTATAAATGCATTCAACCCAGCACTTAGATTTCTTTCTAGAGTGCACCTTTTTATTGATCCTTATAAGTAAGCAGAGGAGCAGCATCTGCATTAAAAGAGAAAAATCCAGAAATAAGAGTTTTTCACCAAAGTCAAGGTTCTCTTTAACTGGGGAAATGGCTACTAACTTGAGAAAGAGACGTGCTTCTTGTGGACTAGTTGCACTCCGACCTGCTGTGTTCAGGCTGTCTCCTGCTCACCCATCTCCTCCTCCACACTGCAGTTTGAAATGAGGAAAGGTAAAGAACAACTGGTGGAAATGATGTGCCCAAGCTGGGTGATGAGTTGATGATATAACAGGAAACAAAACTGATTTTCAAAGATATTTTATCAGACATTTGGGTTTCTTGCATAATACATGTGGTGGTGTGATACCAGCCGAGTGGGGGCATAAAGCTCAGGTCTTGATTTAAGCCTTGCCAATGACAGACACGTTGGTCTGGTCCCTGTTAAGGAGTTCAGTTAAAACCCCACTGCATTTCTAGTCTTGCTGTCGGGGATGATGTGGGTCATCCTCGTGGCATTGGCTGTGCTCTCAGCTGGCACACGGTGGTGGCTTTCCAAGTCCCTTTGTAACCTCACTGCTTCTCCAGATGGCTGTCTGTCTTGTTAACATGCCCTACACATGTGCTTCACTTCCAAAGAAAACTGATTGTAAATGACTTCGGTTTGCATTTCCAGGTAGTCAACAGAGCTCCTGCTCTTCTTGCTCACCCAGTGCTTCTCCTTCACTTCCATCCATCTCCATAACTCTTCATCTCCCCGCTTGTAGAGAAGAAAGCCTTTTTGGTTCAGAGCACATCAAATGCAGTTGTTTGCTGAAAATGAGTTGTGAGAAGTCACCTCTTGCAGGATAGGAGGGTGAAACAGGTTTGCCAGTGTGCTGGTTTGGTTTTTTGTTTGGAACAGCTGCATTTTCACATCTGTATGCAGTGGTTTTCAAGGTTTGTGCGTTCTTTGTAGCCACCTTTTACGTCATTTTAGTTGCATATGGTCCTGCTCTGGTAGGTTATCCAGCATACAAATTAGCAAAATGTTCTCGTCTTGTGTTCTTGTATGCAGGGATATAATCTAGGGTGGTGGTCTATAGCTTGCTTTTTGCCAGGATTTATGTAATCTTTAAGCAGGTAAAACTAAACAAGATATATATTTTTTTTTTCATGTAACATCTGTACTAGCTGTAACCTAAACCAGTTGGAGGCCATGCTTTGGCTTCTATGAATTTGGATTGAGCCTGTAGCTACTTTCCATACCCAAATTGTACTGAACATAAAAAAAAGCTTTTTGTCTTGAGCTGTGTCTTGATAATTGGTGGTAAAAGGAAATGAAGTATTAGAAAAGAAACCAGCATTTACGTGAACCTTGCCTGGAGTGGGGCTGCATTAAGTAATGTTGAAACTTGCCTGTGTTACTTCCCAGTGAGGGTCAACCATTGGGAAAGTGGCATTTATCAGGGACGTAACTTCCAGCTTGCCTGACCCCAAATGCGGAGTGTCAAAAGGGACATTAAAACAAAGAAAGTCCAACAGCAAACCCTGCAAAAAAACAAACCTGCTTTTTCCAGGAGAAGCAAGTTCGGTACATAACCATGCGAGGGTTTGTTTAAGTGCACTAAATGATTGACTGTTCTGTTTGTTTCTCAGGAGGCATATTTGGGAGCTGCATGTTGGTTTTAATGATTAGTTTTGAGAGTAACTTCTAGTAAGTGGGAAGGTAAAAATAGAGCCGAATGTTTTGAGGGGAAAGCTTTAAATTTTGCTGCGTGTGTTTTTGATGAGACTTTTACTGGATGTCTGGGAACCTTTTTAATGCCATTTTCCTCTGTGCTTTCAGTTCTTTCCTCGCTGCATTTTCATCTCAGCTTCTCAGTTTGACAAATGTTGTTCCTGATTTTGCTCCTGCTTTGGTGAAATTGCTGACAGCTTTCAGGACAGCGCTGAGTGCCTGCGACTTCCCTGAAGTGACTGGGGCTTAAAGCACCTTTAGGATTGGGAAATTTGGGATACATTCCCACCTGCCAAAGGAAGGAGATAAAATTAGCGCTTGGGTTTACTTCTACTGAAGGTTTCCAAGCTGTGTCTGCACTTTTTGTTGACCCTTCTGTCTTTGTATGTCAAGCTCTTTGGGGAGAAGTGAATTTGTTTTTTTTTGCTTCATCTGTGGTATAGTTTTGTGGCCAAATTTAAATAACTGTTCAAAAATAGATTCTGAGAAGAAAGAGGACGGGTAGTCCTTTGGGTAAAGTGATGGGAACCCTGTTCGTGCTGCTGAAGTTGTAGAGTAGGTGGCCTTAGGAGGCGTCCTCTGGTCAACAGACAAATTCCTTCTCAAGGCTAGGAGTACGATGACAAAATGTGAGCTTTCAGGACGCCTTTAACAAAATCACAGCAAACTTCACCCCTGTGGGCTGCCAAAAAGCCAGAGTTTGGTTTTTCAGTGACTTTTGTTGAGTGATGTCACATCACCTGGACATCCCCTGCAGCAGGGCAGGGCACCACTGGATACCACAGGCTCTGTCCTAAGGCTGGCAGCAGAAGCACACGCTCATCATCCATGCCGAGAAGGGAATTTCATAATTAGAGACTTGGTAACATTTTTCAGGAGGAAAGAAAAAGTGCAGGTTCCTCTTAGGAACCGCTCCTAATTTCAAAAGCCCGAGTGCCCCAAAGCTATTTCAGGGTCATTCCTGACTCGCAGGCAAGCAAAGTAATACTGCGTTGATGTATGTTCTTTCGGTATAGTTAATATTTACTGGTATTAAGGGACCAGACCTTAGCTTGGCTGTCTGCTTGCTGTATCTCCTTGCTTTTCATTTTTAATGTTGAGCTGACAGGTTCGCTATAAACTTAAATCCTGAAGTGCAAGCAAATGTCTTCTTTCACCAATAACAGCTTAAATTATTAGGGAATTATTCTTTTCTTTTTTAATTTAAAATCTCTGTTCTTCTCTGTGTGTCAGAGGCAATGCACACCTGAACAAGCTTTGCTAGTACTGATATTTCTGGTTCCTTACAACATCGGCCCCAAGGTTTGGGATGCTGCAGAGGGATGTTGCATCTTCTTAAGTAACTGCGGAAGAGCTCCATTAAATATTTAGAAGAACAAATAAACCGGGAGAGATGCAAATTGATAACGTTGCTTTAATGCACTCACTTGCCACTCCTGGTGCCTTTTGTCCATGTTTGTTCCTAGATTACAACTGAAGAAGAGCCAGGCTTCTTCTGGTGCACCCTGCCTGTCTTCTGGTCACTGCATTTTCAACTCCTTAGAGTTGAAAAGTACCTTTGAACTAGCAATAGTTTTCATTAACAGGTTGGCTATCTCTACTTAAATGGTGTAGTTAAGTGACTTGGTACTTATGTGGGCTGGAAGCTGAGGCTTCCTAAGTTTTTTTTTTAGCCATGCCATTACTTTAGGTAAATAAAAGTTAAACCTTTTTGTCCCCATCTATAGAAATGGGAATAGTATTTTGTTGAAGTTTCTGTAATGAAAAGAATAATCAAATGTCATTGTCAATGTCTTCTCTGAACGCTTTTCCGCTTGATAATCTTCTTAATTTGTTACCCTGTGCTTTGGTTTTATTTACCAAATGTAACTTTGGTAAATAAAAGTTTCCAAACCTATGGTTCAACATATTTGAAGGTTCAACGTATTTGAAGAATGCTCATTAGATTTCAGTTGTTTGGCTACTGAACCCTTTTTTATGTGTTGAATTTCCTTTTAGGAGGAGAAGTAAAGAAATACTACTTAGGCTTTTGCTCCTTCAGAAGAGTTTGTAGACAGAATTGTCATGGTATTCAGACACTCCCCTAAGCAAAGGGAGAAGTCTGGAGAGGTGAACGATGTGACCTTTAAAAGTGATGTATGTTTTCCTTCCAGGTGTCAGCGGTGGACTCCTTGGAGGGTCCCCTTCTTCAGGTGGAGGGCTTGAGCGATCTGAGGCTGGAGCTCCACAGCAAGAAGATGAACATGCACCTAGTCCTGATCGATGAGTTACACCGTCACCTTTACATCAAGTCAACTAACAGGGTGGGACAACGCAACAAGGAGAAGGGGAGAATCAGGTGGGTTTGGTGTGATGCTAACTCAGGGCAAGAGGTCTAGGAGGGAAGAGGACGACCTTCTCCCTGTCACAAGCAGAAACTTTCTTGGGAAGAGCAACATCGATTGAAACTTTCATTTTTGGAAGCAACTTTCTTGTGCTTATGGCTGTGAAGAGCATAAAACCCCTAAATATTTTGATGCACTTTTGAACCCGAAAGCAGTCTGTTCTCCTTCTTTTGCTTAGTGATTCTGTTGTTTTTTTTTGTTTTTTTTTTTTTTTTTTTTTTTTTTGCTGCTTCCTACAGAATTATGATGAGGTCAGTTCTCCAGCATTCTTTGCCTTCTCTGAGGCATATACCTTACCCACAAATGCCGTGATCGTGAGGCTCAGGTCAGGCAAAGGGAAGATCACAGGGGAGAACTGTTCATCTTTTCTAGCGAACTGCCAGGGTTTAGAAAACTTCCAGATAACCATAAGGTTACTAGCTGGAGGCAAAATATTGAAGTGCCTGGGCAGTGTCTTGCCTCTGTAGCATTTCAAAGGTGTTTTAAAGATGTTGAAGTTCTGTACCTGGTTGGTGCTTCTGATCAGTGGATTGGACTCAAGTATAGACAGGTGGCTATTTTTTTTCCTAGTTTTGTGAATTCTAACTTTAATGGCAATGGAGTTTTTGGGAGGGAAGGAAGAAAGACGCTGTCTAGAAATGAGGAAGTGTTGGGAAGTGACTTTCGTAGAGTAGGGGAGAAAATACATAGTGGTGGGGAGCAAAAGAGGAGTCAGCATATGATAAAGATGCAGAGAAGAGATAAATGAGCATTTTGTTATGAGAAAGAAAGAATAAAAACATGGTTACCAAATATAAGAGGAGAGATAGTAAGTTTCATTAAATGAATTTATGAAATAAAGGATTGTTTGAAGTTGAAGTTTCCGGGAGAGAGAGTTGTTAGCAAGTCCTCAGTCTCTTCCTTACTCATCTCGTTAATTAAAAACAGACAAAAAAGCTTTGGTGTTCCCAGACTATGCAACTACTAATTAACTGCAGTTTTGTACGACTGCTACAGGGACCCCTTATCTTTTTCGTGCTTTGTCTTTTTCCCCATTCCCTGTTATGCATCATTGATATGATATTAATATGAACACTTGGATCAAGGACTATCTTGTTGCTTCATTTTAGTGTGCTGCCATGGACTGGCTGTCAACCAGGACGCAATTATGTTGATAGTTATTTGTTGTGGTGGTTTTAAGTGTCTCAGATCTAACAATGCTGAGCTGGAATGCACAGCTAATCCATTTAAGCGTAGTATTGGAGCTGTGGAGAGAGTGGAGGTGGTTCTTAGGCAGGGTAGTAAGTTTAGCCCCTGTCTTTGCAGGTTTCTGTAAGTATTCTGATCTCTTAGGGAACATAAACTCGTTATAGGTGCCTTCTCTGCTTCAAATGATTTCTTGCTTTTGTTCCCCTGCCACATCCAGCTTTATGCCTTTCATTATGCATGCAGCTGAGGCAGCACGACACATTCTTGGCAAATACTCTGTGAATTTATTATGGAAATGACGAAGTCTTTCTGCTTTCAGAGGAAGAAGGTCCCTTTGGAGAGGGGTGCGTGTAGGTGTGCATGGAACAGGAATTTGAAGGGGAGGAGAAAGAGTGGAGGTTTCTAGAGGGTGCTAGGAAAGCTGGAAGGAGTAAGGAGTTGACTTGGGAAATGGGAGCATCTCTCTGCCTTATGTGGTTTTCTAGGAAGATCTTAAAAATAATTCCATGTCCAGTTATTATCATTCTAGCAGGAGTTAGTTGTGCTGGAAGTGAATTTGTTGGGAAACTGGACCAAGGTATGGCAAGCTCCAGTGGGGGTCTGCCCTGATTGCGTTGCTACCACCAGTCAGACATGTCTGCAGTGCAGTTAAAATCAAAGCAGTATCCCAAATTTTGGGATAAATACCAGATACCAAATTTTGTCTTAGATACAAGTGTTCCCTCATCATTGCTTTTTGGCTTTTCCCTTGTTCAATCAAAGTATGTATGCACGCCCACTTGTATCCTTCTATGGACACGTGCTTTAATTTAGGTTTTGTAAACATCTTGTGTCAGAACTGTTACGTATAACTCTGCTGCTTTTGCTTACACAATTAAGAAATAAATATGTTATTTGCCAAGAACTAAAACTGTAAATGACAGTAAACTGTTTGCTTTAATTCTCTCCCCTCATCCAGTTCACTTGTGAAAGATGCCTCTTCTGTACCTCTTATGGATGTTACCAACTTGTCTACGCCTCGCAAGTTCCTTGAAACTTCCCAGTTCAGCACTCCTGGAAGCTCCAGCAGTGAGTATTTGTCAGGTGCATTCCTAAGAAGATTATTTTGTAGCTCTGTGATTCTTCAGCTGATTTTGCAAGAGTAGTAGGCATATTATCCCCTCTTGAGTGGGTGCTGGTGGGGGTCTTGAGACAAAAAGATATGAAGTGATTTGCAAAATACTAGGAAATGAGTGAGTTGTACATCTGGGAGCAGAATTTGGTCATATCTGCAGTTTCCTCTTGGCAAGTCATCCTTCCTCATCAGCTGTAATTAATTACCCTGTTTTCTCTGCCTGTCCTGATGTTGATCGTGTTCTTGGTATCCTGGGCAGAAGAGCGATTTGCAGTCAGTTGAGTTTCCATAGAGGTCATCTCTACATTTGTTTAATGTAGGCAGACAGGTATACAAAGATGTCATAGAAATATTCTGCTGTGTTGGAGCCAAAAGGTCAAAGCTTTTTCTCCTTGTAGCTTTGAGTGAAAGTCTACATAGACACAAGATTAATCTGGTGGTCATAGAATCATAGAATATCCTGAGTTGGAAGGGACCCTTAAGGATCATCAAGTCCAACTCTTGACACCGCACAGGTCTACCCAAATTCAGACCATGTGACTAAGTGCACAGTCCAATCTCTTCTTAAATTCAGTCAGGCTCGGTGCAGTGACCACTTCCCTGGGGAGCCTGTTCCAGTGTGCAACCACTCTCTCTGTGAAGAACCCCCTCCTGATGTCAAGCCTAAACTTCCCCTGCCTCAGCTTAACCCCTGGTCATCTTTGTATACCTGTTACTGCAACAGATACTAACCAAAATACTCTGTTTTATTGGTGCTTTTGTGTGGAGCTTTGAAAGTACTGCACAGATGGGGAATTAATCCTTGTATTGTTTCAGTGGATTAATAAGTGGGGTTGTCCTTGTTTAACAAAGGAATAAAATGAAGAATACAGAAGTGACCTAAATCTCTCCTGCCCACACCCCTTTTGGTCTTCCTCAAATGAAGAGTCTCTCTTCTCATCTTTTAACTCTTTTGTCCTTCTTTTTGTTGTCTTGATTCTGTTGTTTCTTGACATGCTTGCCTCCTAGCTGTTGTTTGATTGTTCTTTTCTTTTGCTCGTGTTTCTTGAATAGAAACTACGTGAAAATTCTGGACAGAAACATCAGAATTCCTGCACTTTTCCTGTGTGATCAGTGAGTTCAGTTTTTTGCCAAAGATCACATGATTTGGGGAGCTGAGGAAATAAACCAGCAAAAATGAATTCTGCTCCTACCACTGTAAATGTTAACCTACTTCTGTAGTGAGTTTTTCACCTAAAATTGGAATCCTCCTAGTTGAAAAAAAACACGTCTGGAGTTACAGAGCTGTTGGGAGTCTCCCGTCATGCCTTGTGACAGGGAAGAGACAGCAGGAGAGGAGCCTGTTGAGAATGGAAATCCAATCTTTCATCACCTTCCTTGGTTGTTTTTTATTGCTAATATAATAATGACCTTAAATATGCTTTGAAAATGAAGGGTTTTTTTGTTTGGTTGGTTGGTTGGGTTTTTACTTTTGCACCTTTGAAGACTTCCACAGCCTAGCCTGTCCTCATCTCATCTGCTTAAGGGACTTGTTATTATTCAGACCTGGCTAGGAGGCAAGAAAAAAATGAATCAAGCAGACAAAAATAAGGACAAAATTGTTAATAAGGATGAGAAGAAAAAGAAAGATTGTTCTCAAAGAAAAATGCAATGAAAGGGACTCGTTTAGTCACTAGCAGACTAAACAGTGAGAAACTAAAAGCAAACCAAAACCACTTTCCTCCCTCCACTTTCTTCTATGTCCACCCCTGCAGCCCCCCGCTACCAAACCTTGCCACGTAAACCCAATACAACATCTCAGACAAGTTCTCATTTTATTTACTCTGTGCAATGTTGATGGCATTTACTATTACTTGTTTCAAGATCACCTGATAAACAGTTATTTCATGCTGTGCTTGAATTAAGGTGTCATGGAACAAGCAACAGGTAGGAATACAACAGTGGTCTCTAAGAGGTAGGTTGTTTGTGAGCATAAAATGGCATCACCTCTTTGTCTCCAAGCACCTGATAATAAAGGCCCTGTGGCATCATCCTCAGCTCCTCTGAATTGGCATAGGTCAATTGAGGATCTGCCATGAAGCTTCTTGTGTTTGCAGATCTATTCTTGCTGTTCATGCTCATATGCACCAGAAAATCTTTCACCTGGGTTCTTGTTTCACATTCTGTTATTCAGCGATGCGCTGGCCAAGTGTCCCTCAGAATGGGAGAGATGAGGGATACAATAGAAACCATTTGATCAGCTAAGTGTGCATATGGTTTTGCTTCAAGTGCACAATGTACTTATGTATATTTTTTCCGGATAATTTTATTTAGAAGTAGCCTTTTCCTGGGCTGCAGAACTATCAGATTAAAAACTTATGTGTATGCATAACAAAAGCTGTTTCTGCCTTTAGTCATTTAAGTTCTTTAGCTTTTTATTGATGAAACAAAGTGGCCATGCATATTAATGCATGTCACTATAAAGCACTGACTCATTCAGCCCATCTCGGCAAAGAAGATGCCAACATTTTGAGTCCTTTCTGCATTCTCTTCCCAAAGGAGATGTTACTTTGTGCTGTAGAATCTTTATAAGGAAATTAAAGCAGTTCCTGCTGCACTTAAAATAAACAAAACCTTCAGTGACGTTCACCTGAGGATTGTAGATACGACAGTTCACCGGTAACTTTCCCTTCATGCCAGTTCAGAGAAATAAATTCACTTTTAAATTATATTTCTCTGCTTGAACCTTCAGTATTCTGAAGAGTATTTATGACAGTTCCTGCCTTGCCAGGCTCTTCCTGGAACTGTAAAACGTGCTCACCAAGCGTGCAGAAAACCTGAGAGCTCCCTTTCCTGAAAACCTCTTGGGAACGCATCTTAGAAACGCAACAGAAGAGAACCTGAGGTGATGACAGTGCGTGTTGCAGTTGATGGGATTTGTAAATTTTATGCTGAACAGAGCAGGTAATATTCTTCCTTGACCCAGATATCTCAGCTGTAAGAGAAGAATCTAGTTTCTAGATCCAATAGTGTATAGTAGTTCCTAAAATCAAATGTAGTTACTGCTCAGGAATGCAAGTCTTTGCAGGTGAAAACACTTGGAGATCCGTGAAGTTGGCCCAGTGAAATACCTTCAGGAACCCCAGAGCTTTAAGGTCCAGTTTTAAAGGTGGCTATAAAAATGCCACGCTGGTGTTCTCTGTTAGTAGTCACAGTTGCTGCAACTTTAAACGTGTTCAACAAATAAATAAAGGGTGTTTTTTCTCCGGTAATGTCATCTGGGGATCTGCCCCCAACAGGGTGATTTTTCTCGATCATTCCTATTGCAAGGTAAAGGATGCTAAACCTGGGCTGTCCTCTTAGCTGCTTTGCTTTTGCACTGAGGGCTTAACCAAAAGGTGGTGGGAATCCAGCAGTGAGTCTGATTCTTTCCTGCCATCATTGTAGAGCTGTGTGAAAAGCAGAGTTTGTCCTCATCGTCTTAGGGTACGTTTTTTGTCTAGGATATTTAAGAAGTCTATTCCCACTGTTTAAGAATGTTTTGCAGCTGTACAATAAACCTGAAAGCCTACGAAGGAACTTTTTATGCATCTTTTTTTCAAGGCCGTGCTTTTTCTCACTGATCCTTGCTAATGGTTTGTATTGTGCTGCTTGATGCATGTAATCTGCGTGCGTTTGGGGGAAGGAAAGGGGAAAATCAAGAGGATTCTTGGAATTAAATGCTGTTACAATAGATTTGAGAGAGTGGCCAATGCCAAATTAAAATGTGGCTGTTTTTGGAAGACTAACGCTCTTAAAGCTGTAGATGGAACTGTGTGAATCATAGCTTTAGAAAGAGGAGATTTGCCTGGAGCTTTGACGTTATTCATCTCCGAGACCTATTTTCTTGTGGGCTTGGCAGTAAGGCAGATCAAGAAATGTCCAAAATCTTTAAGGGACCCATTTCTAAAGGAACTGTCTATTTGTTGCCCATTGTCTGTACTCATGGGTCAAAGCAAGGCTTCCGCGGCAGAAATAAGCAGATGAAGTTTCTTCAACTATCAAATTATGCCTTTGGGGCACTGTGAACTTGCATCCTTTTAGGGAAAAAGGATTGAAGACACAAAGGGTATAATCTGGAAGGACATAAATCATGGAAAATAGTACATTAAATTTTACTAGTCGCCCATAAATGCACACAGCTAATGAAATCTTCTCTAATAAGTAGCAGCAAATTTTGACCGTTCATTGGAATGAAAAACAAGACCCAAGAGTTTTCTTCAGCTGCTTTGCTTAAATGAGTTATCAACACTGGCTTTTCTGGGGATCAAACCAGCACTATTAAAACGTCTCTCGCAGCAGATTTCTCTCTTGCGAAATGGCAGACCAGCACAAATGAGGGTATCGTCAATTGGAACAGACGTTTTTATAGGGCATCGTCAAACCGGGGAGCCGTCAGGGAAACCTCCACCTTTCTGTCTGTGGAGGTGATGAATCGATGATGTACATGATTCAGCTTTCTAGTGTTTTGAACTGGATATGGATTTTGGCTGCTGAAACATGGAGTTCTGTGCTTTCAGGTGCACAGCTCCCGTGATGTAATACTTCTGAAAATGCCTCCATGTTTCATTAGAGAGGCTGTGGCAAGGACGTTGCTTCTTTAGGTTGCTCTCAGGAGATCTTGGAGAAAAGGTGTTTGAATGTTCTGCTTCCTAAGCAGTTCTCAGAGATCATTTGGTGTCTTCTTTGAATGAAATTAACCATAAAAGCTGCGTCAAATTATTAGGCGATCCTGCAATTTGGTTGTCTGAAGAGGTCAGTTTTCTTAAAAAGACCTTAAGTCGTGTGCCAAACCAGTATGGGAAAAACCTCAGTCGAATGAGCAGGCTTCACATAATCTGACATTTCTGTTGGTTTTTGTGGGCCCACGCACAGGTGTTGATAGCCGGGTTGGCAACTTGTTGGTTGACAATATAATGAAGCTGTGTTTAACATAAAACTGCAAATTTAAGTTAAAAGATATCTAAATAATGGAGATGAGAAAAGCAACAATCTAGACTTAGAAATGTTTATTCTTTCACATCCCATTTTATTCATTATGCTCTCAAAGAGGGTGGGGAAGGCCAGTAATGAGTGGAATACCACCGGCGTTTGCATCCAGTCCTGTTTAGCGTCTTCGTTAATGACCTGGGAGATGGGGTAGGTGTAAATTCAGTACATTTTTAGCTGATACAAAATCCAGAGGAGCGGCTGCTGCACCCAAGGGCCATGCTGCCACCCAGAGGGACCTCAGCAGGCTGGAGAGCTGGGCTGGCAAGAATGCTATGAAGCTCACCAAGGAGAAATGCTGAGTCCTGCCCGTGGGGAGGAGCAGCCCCAGCCCTAGGATGTGTTCCCAGGTGGGAAGCAGCTCAGCAGGAAAGGACTTGGTGGGCACCAAGTTGGACGTGGGACAGCAACATCCCCATGCTGCTAAGAGCTGGGACTGTTCAGGCTGGAGAAGAGGAGACTCTGCAGGATCTGGAAGTTGCAAAGATGGACCCTGGCTCTTGCCAGTGGTGCCCAGTGCCAGGGCCAGAGGCACTGGGCACAACCTGGAGCGCAGGAGGTTCCCTTTGCCCACCAGGAGTCCCCTCCTTAGAGAGCTTCAAACCCAGCTGGACACTAGCTCGGGGTGGCTGCTGGAGCAGGGTGGGACCAGGTGTCCTCATAGGTGTCTCCAACCCTCAACCGGTCTGTGATTCTGTGAAATCTACTTCTTGGTGTTACTGAAAAAATCCTACTGTGTTCTTCTTTGGTGTTTTCTACCTTTATTCGCTTCGTGAATAAAGCCAAGATGCCTTTAATTGCAATAAGACTTTTTTTTCTTCCCTTCTCTTTGATGAATAACAAAGGAGAAGAGGTTAACCAAAGCGAATCTAAACAGCAGCCCCAACGTCCAGAATAATTAACAAAAACAATCCTTGCAAACATCCAGAGGATAATTTAATCTTTCATGGCTGCTCTACATAAAGCACGAACAATGATCCTCCCCTGTAAAAGAAGGAACGGGGATTCTGCAGATGCAGTTCAGGTGGAAACAGGTGAGTGGGGAAAGCGAGGAACAGCTTCTGCCAGTCCTGGGCTTTTGTCTTGATACCAGTGAACGGTATAATTCCTCACTTTAAATGCAGATGAAGCTTTCAGTTCTGAGAGGTGATCTGTAGGGACGTCTCCCTTCACCCCTCTGCCCACAGAGGGTAGCACGGGGCGCTCACGATTTGGAGGAAGATTGGAAGAACTTCTTCGTAAATGTCAGGCTGCTTTGATGTCTCTTTCCAAGAGGTGAGGGAGCGGTTCCTGGGCCAAGGCTTTGTGGTCAAATAACCCCTTGATGGCATTAAATGGCAGAAGAGGATGTTTGAAGCAGGGAAGATGCAGGGAAAAAAAAATCTTCAGTTGCCCGGGGTTGGGATCTTGTCAGATCTTACAGATAAATGGGGCCCCGAAGCTACCCAGGATACCTGTTTAATAGGCAGAACGTGCAGGAAACACGGTCCCCTCTGTTTTATCAAAAGACCAGATCTAACAAAACTGAGATAGCAGCGTGGTGCTGCTAGGAATTGAACTATTCACCATGCTTTTGTTTGTAGGAGATGCAAATCGAGGTCCTGGCTATCGAAGGGCGTTCCAAATTGGTTTGCTCTGTGGAAAAATGGAAGAGGGTTTGTCTCCATGGACTGGCAGAGTTCTCAGCAAGATTGCTGCCTTTGGTCCCCTAAATGCTGGCCTCACGTTTGGATATAGCACTGCTTCCTCCCTCTCTGCATCTCGTGTGACATTAGGAATAATTTACAGCCCGTTACAGAGGGGCTGCGGTGTAATGACCTCTCAGAGGCTGTTTTGGCTGCGAATGCCATACCTTGAGCTCAGAAAAACAACTTTTTCATTTCTTAGCTTTAAACAATAAGTGAAAACCTCTGTCTAGCGTTTGCAGTGTTGTTTTCCCCCCAGCTATTGTTCCAGAGAGCTCATTTCCCACGTTTGTGCCCGGCGTGCTGTGGTTTTAAAAGAACAGCAAGCGGCATTAACAAAGCAGGTGGACTGTGTCCGCAGCGCACAAAGTGCTTTGCAGCCTCGTGGGCTGGGAGGTGAGAGCCTGAGCGGAGATATTTGTGCATCCAGGTGGGACTTTCTACGTGATGTTACAGTTTGTGTGCATTCAAAGTGTTTCCTATATTATCATTCTTTTTTTTAATTTTTATCAGCGCATTCTGGATGTTTTTAGGTTGAAGTTGACACTGTAACTCACCAAATTGCAAGTTTAAATAGAATTTAAGTGAAAGAAGTATGTGCAAGAGGGGAAGAAAGCACTGTGTGACCCCCCCAGACATTTTGCCCCGATGCTGATGACCTAAAACCCAATGCCACTCTGCGTTGTGGTGCGGGATGACTCCGTAGGGTCCCTTCTTACCTCCCTCTTACCTGGTGGCGCTGCTGGTGCTGGAGGCTGAAAGATGAGCGAGTGCTTGGGATCACATACAGCAAGGAGGTTGGTGTCAGCTGCCACTGAAATAAGCTTTATCTACTTCTTGTGGTGCTGTTTGTGAAGAGGCACCGTACAGACTCTTTGGGACGTCGTTTTCTTGATCTCCTGCTGACTTGCAGGGTTGCTCTCTGCGCGGAGTGCCGTAGCTTTAGACGGCAACAGGGTTGTGTCCTGCTTGTTGTTCTTCATTTTTGCCATGCCATTTCAATCCTGCCGGTGGACCTTTTGATGTTTATTGAGGTTCTTGGAGAAGTTTTTGATTGAAGTGAAAAATCTGTTGAGCAGCAGAATCCACAGGAGTCATCTGTCATCCAACAGCCCTCGCCAGAGCTCGGGACCAAGAAGACGAAGCAGCTGTTTGGTTTCCATTCCTATTGGATTTCCATTTCTGTTCCATTTCCGTTCCATTTCCATTCCTAGGAGCTGGTACAGTGGATGGCACAGCTTCAGCCACATCCTTCAGAGCCAATTGTCCAAGTACCACCACTCCAGCTGCTAATGAGCATGGCTGAGGATCTGCCAGGATGCTGTGGTCAAGGTTCCTTGAAGACACGTACTTCTCACTGGTGTTTCGATATATTTATTAAACTCTTCACCCAGGCTTCAGCAGAGGCATCCTTTTGTTATCTGTAAATAAAGAAATGTTGATTAATGATGGTACTTAAAACAAGCGTGGTACCAATTGCCTTTCCCCTCATGTCGCTTAGCAACAGAATTTCTCCCTGTGCAATCCCTGGGCCTTCAGGAGGGCTGTATCCACCACATCCTCGCTAATCCTTCTGCTTTTTCCTGTCTAGAAGCTTCGCTAAAAGATTTGAGTAGCTTCATCAACCCTTTGACAGACGTAATAAAGCAGAACAGGATAACATCGGGCAATAATTCACCTCGGCAGGGTAAACTTTGCCGAATTCATCAGAAGTCTGTTAAGCTTGATAGTGTTTATAAGGAAAATTTCTCTCTTGTGAAGAATCTAGTGAAGGGAAACAGCTGGGTTAGAAACTTAGAGGCTTTAGCTCCTTGAAACACATTTGGGGGGTTTGTAGTGATAGAACACCTCATTTATGGGTATGTTAATTGCACCAGGCTTCCTCTGCTTCCTAACTAATATGTAAGACACTATAAGCTCTGTTTTGAAGTCTATCAAACGTACAGGCTGTTGTGTTTATAGGGAACCTTACAAGCAAAGCAAAACATCCACTGCCCTTTCCCACCTCCCCCAAAATCTGACTGTTGATGTCTCCTTGTTTATTCCTTGGTTGCTTGAAGTGTTATGCGTGGTGCTAAGTGTGGCTTTCGTTAGTTTAAATCTTGGTTTTTGCTTTTTAAATTATATTCCAGTGCGAGAAACAAGCCTTCTGGAAATTAAGGAAGATATGGATCTGGATCCCGAGGAGAACAGCATTGTCTTCATGGGCATACTCATCAAAGGGCTGGCCAAGCTGAAAAAAATCCCTGAAACGGTGAAAGCCATCCAGGATCGCCTAGAACAAGAACTCAAGCAGATTGTGAAGCGCTCCACAACCCAGGTGGCAGACAATGGTTACCAGAGAGGGGAAAATATTTCCCAGGAAAATCAGCCTAGGTAAGGATATTTTGACACTGAAATGAAATTTGGTTGCTGTAAAAAGAAGCCTGGAGAAGGGTGTCATTTCTGCTTGCCATTTGAAGGAATGACAATAATGGTTTTTGCAGTAGCAGAGATCCAAAATGCTACTTTTTTGAGAAATGCATGTGTCTTGCTAAGAGGTTTGATGTGCCCTGAGCACCTGAAAGGCTTGGGAATGTAGGAAAGATATTCAGAAAGAGGAGGTATTGTTGCTCTCAGCTAAGGTGGTGGGTAAGGGAGATGCTTCCTTCTGTGCTTGGCTGTGGAAGAGAATATTGTGGCTAAACAGATGTTTGAAATGCAGATTTGAAGGCAGGAGCACAGTAGAAGCCAGCATTACTTAAGTAGTAAGAGGCATATAACGTGAAGCACTTGATTATTTTTTTAACCTTAACCTTTCGTTTTAAGCAGCTTTACAACAGATTGAATTGTAATGCTGTCTCAGATTGCTGATATGTATGATGCAAAGAACACTTGGTGCCAAAACAAATATTATAGTCTTGCGTTGCACTGAATCATGACTTTACACTTAGTGCTGATGCCAGAGAAATTTTTAAGTTCATACGTAACAGAACTTTGAAAGAGAAGATTCAGCTCAGTTATTTATTTCAAGTGGAGCGGAGTCTAATTAAGCTGGTGCAGGTGCAAAGCTTAGAAATCATATATGGAACTAATTATATCAGTAAATATATGGCCAAGTTTCTAATTGTTTTGCAGCCCCATTTACATTAATAGCAAAGTGTGGAAGCCAACCAAGAGCTGTGTTTTTGCTCTTCATCAGGAGTCACTAGAACAGGACTCCGTAAGGGCTAGCTATCATATTTAGCTGAAATCTTAATTTGTGGTATTGCACATTGCAGAGATCACTGCCCAAAGGGAAACAGTGGAGAAGATGACTGAAAACTAAAATGTGTGTCTTCATTACACGTAATATTTATAATGGAAATTGCTCCCGAGGAAAAGTTTAGCTTGGTAAAGAATTTTTCTTCAATTCCTAGCATTATCATTGCCATGGAAACAATTATGTTGTGAAGAATTAGTAGCCTTATGGTGTTGAAGAATTAGTAGCCTTACAGTACTGATATCTTGGTGAAACCAAGTTTTTTGGGTGGATCAGAAGGCAGAATTTTTGTCTCTAATATCATGATGGAACGTAGTGTATGCTTGACACTTGATTTATGAATTGGTCTTGAGAGGTGACATGGGTATTGGTTGCCCATTGAAATTGATAAAATTGGATCATATCATATTTTAATGATGTTAACCTGCCCAGAGGGCTAGTAAGGTGCAGAAAACTTTAATGGGTTTTGGCGTGTGATTAGTAGGAGTTTATGAGCCCTTAGGATGCTTATATTCCAGAGCTGGGGAAAGAGTCTTTAATTCATGTCGAGTAAGGAGATAATTAGAACAGTTTCTAAACCAAAATTGCATGAGAAGTTTACAGCAAGGAGGTAAATTCATTTATATTGAAAAGAATAAATTATAGTCTGGAAAAGTATACCACCCCTTAAATTAGCTACAATTTAAAATCAGAACTAAGCGACATTTTCCTGCTGTCAAGGAAAAAAACAAAGACATCACAACGAGGTCCTCCTGTTTCGAGAGAGCTCTGTAAGACCCCAAATTTGAGCGTGATGTAGCGCCTGAAACTACTTAACTGTTCATTAGCCTGTCAGCCACGATGCTGATTTGACCTTAGGATTTGGTGAGTAAAATGCTTTTCAGTTACCTGAAAACTAGTCACACATGAATGCCTCTCTGTCTGCTAACGCTGAGCTCAGTGCCTCTGTTCTTAAAGGAACATAAAAAAAAATCTTCCTTCTGGCAAATCAAATGACTAATGAGATGACAGAGGGGATCTGAGGGCAGGGAAGGTCGGAGACTGTGTTGAACCCTCTGGTGGACAGCCTCCCCTCACCTCGTTAGGTACTCACAGAACACGTTGGAAGCATTTTTGTGACGTTGTCTGGTGGCCCTCAAAGGTTGGCTCATGTCTTATCCCTGTAAAAAGGGTGATGCTTCACTCCACTTGGTAATCTCTGCCTCTGGTGTAATTCCTTTGGGGTAGCTACATAAAGGTAGAGCCCCCTCATTGTGTAAGAGCTGAAAAAGAGATCAGGCACCGATCTTCCACCCTTTTTTTTTTTTTTTTTTTACTACCTTCTGTTTGGCCACTTTTTATATTTGTACATAAAAAGCATGAATTGCCCCCAAGTTTTTAAGTTGAAGAATATATATTTTTTTATGTCTCTAAAGCAACAAGCTCCCAGGAAGGAACAATGTCTCTTAGGTACTTCCAGGTCTTGTCTTCACAGAGCCAACAGGCAGTTGAAGATCTTGGCTTAGATCTTCAGAGGTTCATTGGGTTCATCCTCTCGAAGTTCTGCAGCCCCTGTATGCCTGCCAGGAGCAAGTCTTGTCCATGCTATTGGGTATTGGGCTTGTTAATAAGCATATGTACATTAAACATGATTTTCACCAGTGAGCTCACAGAAAAAAGGTTTGCATGGTCCTGTGACACAGCTGATGTTCAGATTTCCCAAAGCACACAATTATCACAGAATCACAGAATTGTAGGGGTTGGAAGGGACCTCAAAAGATCATTGGGTCCAACCCCCTTGCCAAAGCAGGTTCCCTAGAGCAGGCTGCCCAGGTAGGCATCCAGATGGGCCTTGAATATGTCCAGAGAAGGAGACCCCACAACCTCCTGGGCAGCCTGTCCTAGTGCTCCATCACCCTCACCGTGAAGACATTCTTTGGCATGTTGGTGAGGAACTTCGTGTGATCCATTTTGTGGCCATTGCCCCTTGTCCTGTCCCCACAAACCACCGAAAAGAGGTTGGCCAAATCCCTCTGTCTCTCACACTTAATATATTTGTAAACATTGATAAGATCCCCTCTCAGTCTTCTCTTCTTAAGGCTGAACAGGCCCAGGCTTCGCAGTCTTTCCTCATAGGGAAGATGCTCCAGGCCCCGTATCATCTTTGTGGCCCTCCGCTGGACTCTTTCCAGGAGATCCCTAACTTTTTTTGTACCGATTATCCTTAGTCAGTGGTTCATTAGAACATAATACCTGCATGTTTAAAAAATCAACTCTTGGGTTACGGAGGACAGGGCATCACAAAGGAGCCCATGCTGCCTTAGGATGGAGTACTGCTATGTCTTAACGAATTTGTGGGTATCTCCTGAGGTAAGGAAGGCTGCCGACTTTAGATAAGTAATAATCCAGACACGTGCCCATTTGAGGGCCAGATTTATGGGACAGGTTTTTGGGAAAGATACATTTGCGTGAGCCTTACTTGTAGTAGAAAACCTGACCAAAGACAAAGAGGTTTACTGATGATTTTGTACCTAAATCCTATTGATTGCATTCAGTGCATTTTTCCCTACATGTTTCTAAGACGCTTCTGGCCTTTTATTTAATCTCAAAGCCTTAAAGTAAATATAGAAATTATACACGTGCCACTACTCTGACCAGGCAGAGGACGTTATTGCTGCGAAGACACGTGGATTGTCATTAGCAACCTCATTCAGGTGTCAGCCGTCGCTTTGCATCGATTCATTCTCCGTTAGTACCCAGACAATAGGAGTTGCTTCTGGGTGTGTGTCACTGTCTCTCAGCATATTTACCATATTTCTCAGTGAAGGGGTTACGAGATTGCTTTGACAAATTGCCCAAGCCAGGCTCCTGTCATTGTCTGTATGTGTTCTGCGTAGGTCACTTGGTGCTACAACCCTGTGTGAATAAAATCTAGGCCATATTATTTTATGCTGTTTTGTCTTGTTGGCTGTCTGACACTGCCTGGATCTGCGTCTCTTTTGGGTCACCTTCTTCCAAAAACAACCTGATGGATTACTCACAGAATCATAGAATATCCTGAGTTGTAAGGGACCCATAAGGATCATCGAGTCCAACTCCTGGCACCACACAGTTCTACCCCAAATTTTAGACCATGGGACTAAGTGCACAGTCCAAATGTTTCTTGAATTCAGACAGGCTTGGTGCAGTGACTACTTCCCTGGGGATTAGTATCCAGAGAAGGGCTACTGGTGTCTAGAGAAGGGCTATGAAGATGGTGAAGGGCCTAGAGGGGAAGACGTACGAGGAGCAGCTGAGGGCACTGGGCCTGTTCAGCCTGGAGAAGAGGAGGCTGAGGGGAGGCCTCATGGCGGCCTGCAGCTTCCTCACAAGGGGGAGTGGAGGGGAAGGTGCTGATCTCTTCTCTTTAGTGACCAACAATAAGACTTGAGGGAATGGTGTCAAGCTGAGGAAGGGGAGGTTCAGGCTGGATATCAGGAAGAGGTTCTTCACTGAGAGGGTTGTCACACACTGGGACAGGCTCCCCAGGGATGTAGTCACGGCACCGACCCTGTCGGAGTTAAAGAAGCGTTTGGACTGTGCTCTCAGTCCCATGGTCTGAATTTTGGGGTTAGACCTGTGTGGTGCCAGGAGTTGGACTCGATCCTTATGGGTCCCTTCCAATTGGGGATATACTATGATTCCATGATTTAGAAGACTTTTAGAGAAAATAAAATAAAGGTTAGAGGTGCAGGCTAATTTGAAAACAGAAGTGGAAAAATGATTTGGGATGAGTATGGAGGATGTACCGCGGTGTTATGGAGGCCGAAGGATGTGGCTGGAGGAGCTTCATTTTTGTCAGTCTGTACCACGAGAACAGGCAGATGGGAAGACCAAATAACTCTGCTCAGAGTAATACTATCTTAGTAATGGTTTCATAAATAAGCTGATAATGTGAGATGAAGCTCACTTAGAATCAATAAAAATGAATTTGTCAAACTATCCAGCTAGTTTGGTTCTGCAAATTCATCCTTTCCTGGGTCAATAATGAGGTATGCAGAGAATTAAATTTTCATTAGCAATGGGATGTTAGTAGAGCTTAGGCTTGCGTTGCTAATTTTTCTGAGTGGCAAAGAATCCATTTGACCCCACAAGGCCACCTTCTTGGTATTTCTATCAACGCTGCATGTAGATTCCTCCATCAGGAAATTCCTCCTCTTTCCCAGTGCTTCCACCCCTGCTTTTCCTCTTCGTGTTGCTGGCTTCTGGCTGAGCAGCCACCTGCCCTGGCTGCCTCTTCAACCCCTCTCTGGTACTTGTTGTGAGAAGCTCTACAACCTTATAGGAGCTGTTGAAGCCATAGTCACCTCTCCCATGCTCCAGAATAGGTTGGAGAAGGTGTTTGGATAAAAACGATGCAAGGTTTTTTTCAGGCAGCCTTGTCTGCACATTGCCCTGTCTTCTTCACTGATAACAACGGTGATGGGACAACGGTGGTCAGGGAGGGTGTGGTATAGATCTTCCTTCTGTAGGAGCAACTTCTCTGCCTTGGGCAGGGTAGTTGTTAGGCTTTATACAAAACCTAAATGTAGGAGAATGACTTTCCTTCCACACCGAACTTTCTTGTATCACTTGTATGTCCTATACATTTGATTATCTCCTGACTGTCTTATTTAAATATGTAAAGACCTGTAAAAATGTAATAGTTTTCTCTTTCAGTGCCAACAACACTTATTCATTAGGCATTTTTGCCTTTCCTAAATAAGAAAGAAATTGTTATACTCATCAGTTCTTTTGGATTGCTTAAATGTCTTAGTTCTATAGCCACTTAAGGTATGGCAATATTAATGGCATTGTGTCTTTTATGAAAATGGCAATTCCTAAAAACATCTTCTGTTTAATGTTGCATACATCCTGACCACTTGAGCTGGTCACTGTACTCTCCAGGACTTATCCATGGGCTCTTTCAGTCATATCAAGGTGCTCTTCTGCTTAACTGTTTAAGTTGTATAATTGGTATCATTGGTAGGTGGATGGTCCATGTGAGATCCGTGAGAGATCCGTGGAGAGTTACATATGTACAGCATTATACAGCTGTGTGTGTCTGTGTGTATATGTATATATACGTATAAAATGAACTGATGGTTGTGGTTTTGAATAATAGCAAGCTTCTGTCCTTTACAGACTGGAAGTTTAGGCTAAGGTAGGTGCTTTTAGCCACAGCATCGTGCCAGATGACTCCTGCTGTCTGGGGGTACCAGCAGCAAATGTGCAGCAGCTTCTCAGATTCTCCAGTTAACTCTCCAGCTCCTGGCTTAAACAGCTGACGAAACTGGATGTATGCAGAGTATTTGCATACTGAATTAAAGTGTTCGAGGCACGGATGCATGCCTTATTAGTGGTTGTTAACAAACAGAAGGCTGTAGTGTGATGGTTAATGAGTGAAGGTGGATCTGCTGCTTCTGCAGATCTTCTGCCCTCCTCTGGGGACAGTCACCTCTGCTGGGAAGACACACTTCAAGTGCATGGTAATTCCTAAATGGCTGTACTGAAATGTAGTGGAGCCTGTCTGTCAGAGCCTGAAAGTGTCCAACACAGGGATTTGGGAAGCGTTACCTTCACATCGTGTTGGGGTTACACGTGTACCTGCATTACTCATTAAATGGCAGTGAAGTTATCAGAATGTTCCTTTTCCCAAATAATAAGATCAAAAATAATGAGTCATTGCCTTATCACAAAATATTTAGGACTAGGCAAAGGTACGTTAATTACAGTAATTGGGCAGTAAAGAAGCTATAGAAGCAGGTAACGTGCTGTACATTTTGATGAGGTTATAGCTGTAGCATGTTACAAAACAGCTTTATAATTGACGCAACTGAAGAGCTCAATGGTTTAGGTTTCCTGTTGTTTAATCCTTTTTTTTAATCTTTCATGTTGTTTAAAACCTTCCATACTGCTTATTTTGTAATTTAAAATTAATAACTTGCATTCTTTTTGTATGGGTAAGTAAATTCTTGTCGAATTAACACCCTTCCTTCCTTCTGGGTGAAAGGCAGGTGGTCTCCATTCCTGTCTGCTGCTCTACCTGGGAACTTAAAACAGTCTCTACTGTCATGGTGTTGAAATGTTACGTGGTTATGAATATATTTGTCTTACACCCTCGAGTTGAACACGCTAAAGGTTAAGAGATTGTCTATCGAGGACAGTGTGAAAAGGAAGAAGGTGCTCAGAAGTATTCGGGTACCAAACTTAAGCTGCTAACAGCTGAAGCTAATCACCTTGAGCCCCCAGAGGGTTTGAAGCTTCCCAGGTTGCACAGAGCATCTGTCACAGAGCAGGGCCTGAAGTCACAGTCCTGTGACCCCTGCCTGCTGCTCAGATGTGCTCTGGTGTCTTCTGGAGAATGAGTGGATGTTGTCTTGGTTTGCAGGTTGCTGCTGGAACTGCTAGAGCTTCTCTTTGACAAATTCAACGCTGTGGCTGCTGCGCACTCCGTCGTCCTTGGACACCTTCAGCAAACAGTGGCCTCTCCTTGCAGCCAGTACGATGGTGATATCAAGCTCTACGACATGGTAGATGTGTGGGTGAAGATCCAAGATGTCTTGCAGGTAAGGAGACTTCAAGTGGGCACACTTTGAGCTTGGGACAGCTTTTTTTCACCAGAATATCACAGAAAACAGTTCTGTCATGTTCAAGAGACAGCTGGGCTGGAATTTGTCTTGATTTTTGGTAAGTGAGCACATTTATAGCAGACTTCTAAATTCCAATGAGCTTAAATATCAGCAAAAAAAAAATTAAATCTGTAGTTTTGTCCTTATAGTGTATGGAGAGGTTGATTCCTTTTGCCTACCAAGTGATTTAGCAGAAGCTTTCAAACAGTGACATTTTTGTTCCATGTTACCATGTCATGCCTGTCTTATAAAGTGTCACAGCTCTAATCGCTTGTCTTCTCTTGTCAGTGTGCCTTGGTTCTAGTCAGCTGAGACACTAGCTGCTAGCGTGTTTTCAGGGAAGTCTGATTTGATTCATATTCTAAGCCACAGCATACTAAAGCTGTACCATGCTTAGGCTTTATTTGGTACCACGCCTATCACCTTAGGATCTGAGGCGCTCCCAGGCAGCAGAGCTGTCTGTCACACGTCTGTTCTCTCATACTTGTGAGGCCAACACACACTCTCATTACATTGTTTTTATTTTTTTTCATGTATTTATTTTGGAATTTCCCCTATGCCTGATACACAGGTGTACACCTCACCCAGTATTTGCTAGAGGAGGTCGAAGAAATTAGCCTGGCATAATTTACAAGAGGTGGCAAGATTTATTTTGGTCATTCCACTTCTATGCTGTTCCCCAAAAATGCTCTCTGGCTCCTACACTGACACACATTTTCATTGTAGGTCACCAGCCTGTTTTGCTGCTTCTCTAAAGGTTTGTGTGTCTGTGCAATGATGCACACAGGTTTTTTGCTTACACAAGTATGGCTGTGTGTGCATGCTGTGAATGCAAATACTTCTTGGACAGAAATAAAACTAAGTTCTGGGCCTTCTGATCACCCACTGTCTCCTTCTCCACTTGCATGTCTTTCTAAAGGAGATGGTGCTTTCATTTAAAGAAATCACGATAAGTTTTCACCTTGATATAAATTTTCACCGTCCTTCAGTATTGTTCTTCAAAAAATTGATTGGGAATGTCCAGCCAGAGGTTAATGACTGGTTTTCTAAACAGAAGAATATCATAAAATCAAAGATGTCCAGTCCTAATAAAGGAAATAGTTAAGGACATGAGGAAAGGATTTGGTGGGGAGAGTCTCCAGTCTCCTTTCTGTCACCCACAAGGTCCAAAAAACCTTGAAGAGCTTTGAGTTCTGCAGACTTTGCTGTAGCAGGATAAAGCTTGGCATCAAGAATCATCCAAGATTTTATCTTCAGTGAAGCAGAATGACAAGGCTGGTAATTCCCCGTTATCAGTGTGGGTTAGTGATGGTTTCATTCCTCATGAGTGGCGCAGTCGGGAGTGAGTTATGCTGGCTATTACCAAATAACATTGATAAAACTTTCTTACAGAAGCATGTGTAGGTGTGCACATCCAGAGAATGAGTGAGCTTCCTGTGTTAGGGAGAAAACACGTGGCCAAGCTTTCTGCAAGGAAAGTGCCAAGAAATATGAAGCAGCCCACTGGTAAAGATTTCATTGCTATTGGCCTGACAGCACAAGCGTCAGAGGGAGTCTGAACAGCTTCCAGAAGAGTCACAGATAGCTTTTTCAGTGCACAAAAGCAGCACTTTAAACTCCATCATCTCTTGCTGTTTTAGGGTAAGAGATGAGCATTGACTGACGTGGAAGGGAGGAAATTTTCCATTTCTCTACTGGAAGCTTTGTGTTTTTTTGTATGTTAGTTTCATATGAGCAGATTATATTTTTTTTTGGAGTAGAATAAAACCTTTAAGCCCAAGACAAAATTAGTTCTATCCTGTGTTTTCAAAGAGGGATAATTTTTTGAGGGAAGATCTTACAATAGTGGCCGGGGGAGCAGAAAACTCAGGTTTAAAAGTGTTTATATTTAAACTCTCCTGCTGTTGGGGGAGGATGAAAATCTGGAGGAAGTAGGTTAGTGGTGGGGCGCATTGGGGAAACGATGCAATTCCTGCAGATCCTAATGAATGAAACTTATTCATCACGCTTGGAGCAGCATCACGTGGCTCGGTAATTCACATGGGTAATCTTTGCCACACGTACATTGTGCAGCCCTGCATGGGAAATGCGTTGCAGCGAGGTTATCTCTTTGTAGTTGGGCACAAAAGTAATAATGTGCGCTCGTGGTGGGCTGGAAATTGTCCTTTGTGGAAAACATGAGAGAGTTGTTTTGAGCAGCTTTTTTTTTTTTTTTAAAGCTGGATTTCTGAATGCTCCCTAATAACAGCACAAAGCGCTGCGGTATGGTTTTGGATAGGTGGCACAAAGTCAGGCAATGTTTAGGTAGCGAACATGCAGATATAAGATATTTTTGACCTTCTCTGTGAATAGAGGAATAATACTGAACTCGTCAGGAGGAAGACAGAGTGACCTTTTCGAGCCGGCTGCCAGAGTGCTAGAAAACAAACAAACAAAGAAATCAGTTCATCGAAATATTAGGGCAGCCTTGTTCAGGAAAACACAGTTTGAAGTTATTTGTACCGGAGCCAGCCTGGTCTGTAGCTGTATCACCGTGCCAGCAAGAGGGATTTGGAAGTTGTTTAAATTTTAACTTGCTCTTTTTATATATGGAGCTAATTTAGCTCGTCAGCGTAGCAGTGGGTGGGATATCCTTCTGAAGAGCGTCATTATTGTAGGGCCATTATTGTAGGGTGTTACTTTGGCAGGTGGAGCTGTACTGACACGAAGAGTTGCTTCAGGACTACGCAGCAGAGGAATTCTGATTTATTTTTTGGCACAATTCAATGTATTCATGGCATTCCCCCATCCCAAGTGATGACGTGCTGCTATTTAGGCTTTGTTACGTGAAAGGCAGAGCGATGTATGTGCTTGAGTAAAAGGCAAGTACTCCTCCTGTCCTGTTGTAGTAGTGTCAGGGGAGCACCAGCAGTGGGCATGCAGCTGATGCTCGCTGTGCTGGCTCTCCCTTGCTTTTAGAACTTGGAGCAGTTCATTCACCTTTTTTTTTTTTTTAGCACTGTCTTTTGATGCCACGAGGAGAAAGAGGCATCTGTCCCCGCTGAATAATACCAGTGCTCATTCAGCTGCTTCAGAAACGCCACCTTCCAGTGACAGGGTGATCGTCCTGTCAGCTGCTTTGTAGGAGTGCAATACCCTGCTGCCAGAGAAAACACCCAGCAAATGTGACATCTCCATGCGTACTCAGGATCCTGTTATCAGCTTAGGCTGGTGCTGTTTGCCTCCAAGGAAGAGATCTTCTTTTCTTCTGTAACAGCAGTAGCATTTGAGGTTGTAGTTCTCATTCTTTTTTTTTCAAAGAAGGTGGCCTGTCTCTATTTTCTTTTCAGAAGACAAGCAAAATCATATATGTGCTCCAGGACACAGGTTGCATCTTCAGCAGCACCAGGGCGACAGAACACGAGTATTCAGGCTGTCTGGTGGGCTGTCTGCTGAGAAAACGCTGACAATTATTACTGTCCTTTTTTGTGGTCCTCCTTTCAGGTGTTTTCCCCAAATAGTGTCATTTAGCAGTCTAAGCATTGCTGAAACCATAAGAAAACTGTGGCAAGGGAAATTGAAGCCTCCTGCCTGCTCACACATTAATGTTTTGTTGCTGCAGAGCTGGCGATACAAGAAACTGTAGAACAAGAGAGCCTCTTCCATGGCACGTGGAGCTCCTCTATCCAGAAGCTGTGATGTTTTCATCCTCATGTAGAGAAATGGCACACGAGCAAGTTCGTGATGTGAGCAGGGGATGGAGCAGTTCGGCAGCATGCAGCCAGGGCTGCTGGCCAGCAGCATGAGCGTCTCATTGAAAAGCTGCACTGAGTTGTATTTGCTCTGCCACGCTTCTCAGGGAGTCGTGCTAGAGCACTCGGGGATGTGCCTGGCTCTGCTGCAGCAAGCTCAGCCACTTGGTGACCTTGTAAGCAAGTTACCAGCAAAAGTTATCGGTCTTTAAGCACACAAGTGAGCAGGGGAAAGGCAGTGGAGTCCAGCAGCCTTTGTATTCAATTTAATACACTACATCCACCGCCTGGCAGTCTTGCTTATTTTCCCAGGAGTTACCTAATTGGAGGAAGTTGATTTGGTCAGATGGTTTTTGCTGGTTTCACTTTTTGCTTGCTCAGGTCCTTGAACTATGTCTGTGTTGGTGAGAGCAGGAATGTGCTGCAAAGAAGGGGAGCAAAAGCTTTATCCTGGCAATTGTCATTCCCTGCCTGACTCTTTGTGTACTGGGCTGGGTAGCCACAGCTCTCTTTGCTAAAACTTCACATTTAAAGGATGAATTAACTATTTATGGCACAGCTAATATTTATAAAGTAAAATAAGATTCTCGGATGAGAGTGTGCTAATATGTCATAGATGCTGGTTGAAATGTCAGAGCGATGTATGAAATTGCTGTCGCATTTAGGAAGTTCACCAGGTGATGTCTTGGACCTGCAGCAGCATTATTTTTCAGAACGTTTCCATGTGGAAATTAATGGTTTCATGGTTGTCCTCAAAATAATGCGCTTGGCAGTTTTTCTGGTTCCTTTTAAATGGTTTTAAATGCGTGGAACCGATGCCCTTGGACTCCTGACTGGTGTGTCTCATTAATGCTCATCTCTCCTTCAGTTGAGAGGCTGATGGTTGTGCAAGAGATTTTTCTGCAGCTTTTGAAAAACGCAGTTTCAATGTTGGGTGCGTAAAGGGGGAGGAGAGAGCATTACCCTCTCCAGGATGCTGATATTGAAAGTTGGAATTTAAATCATTACAGATTGGGATACTTGGCCTGCTTTTTTCCCCCCCATTTCTTGGTGGAAGTGAGCTGAGAACATGCTTGTTTGTGAAGGAATCCAGCACAGTGAGAATATAACACAACTTTCTTTTTTTTTCCCTCCTGTACATATCTCCTAACAGCACGAAAATTTCAGTGAACATTTGTGGTTCAGGACGAATGTCACCTGTCTGAATCTGGGAAGGGACAA